ACTCATGGTGAATTGTTTCCTCAAATGTTTTTGAAGCCCAACATAAGATCACACATTCTCTCTCTCTCTCTCTCTCTCTCACCTCTTGTCATTAACCAGAAAGTGGAAAAAGAGAAGAAAGGAAAAGCAAAGCTGTACATACTAGAAACTTGTAGGGCAAGAGTCACTAACAAAATGAGTTGTCAAATGAACTCCCCAAGTAGTTAGAGTCTTAGAGGTTCATAAGATTATTGGAGAAAGATTTATTATAGAGAGTCCTTGTTTAGACTTTGCAAGATAGTAAATAATTAGTAAAAAAAAAAACAAACCCTCAGAGTCATTGCTATTTAGTTGGAATTGACACATAGCTGACTTTCTGAGGCTGTAAATCACACAGGAAGAGACTGCCCATCTTTCTTCTGCGGGGCTGTTTTGAACCACCAAGGAGGCATAGCAATTGGGCTAACAGTAAAACTCTGTATGGTCCGTGCCACAGAGCTCCAGCTAATACTAATAATTTTAGTAAGAGGAAGACCCTGAATGAAATGCACTGATAGAGTAACTGGGGCAATGGGAGTTGTTGTGTTAGAATTAGTGAGACTGACTCAGAAGAGGGCTGGGTTCAGAGCTGCTGTACTAAGGGTCACTATGGGTCACAGGCAATTCAACAGTACATAACAACAACCAGCAAATTGGAACTGACCCATAGCTGACCCTCCAGTGAGTTTTCAGAGGCAGGTTGCCCATATTCCTCCCATAGAACAGCTAGTGGATTTGAATCACATACCTTTGTTTGGCAGTTCCTTACCACTAAGCTACCAGAGTGCTTCTTGGAGGCAAGGATGACAAAGTTAGGTTTTCATACTTTGGACATGTAGCTAGGTGAGGCTGTTCCTTTGAAATGGACATCATGCTTGGAAAGATGGAGGGTCAGCGTAAGAGAGGAAGACTCTCAACAAGATGGATTGACACTGTGAATTCAGCAGTGGGCTCTAGTGTCTTAAAGATGATGAAGATGGCAAAAGATAGGATAAGTTTCAGGAAGGCTGTTTATAGAGTCACTGTGAATTGTACTTGATAGCACCTAACAACAATAAGCCACCAGAGCTTCCTTTAGTAATGAGACATTTTAGTAATTAAAGACTGGCTGTTGAATTATCATGTCATTTTTTTTTTTTACTAGAACACTTGAATCTGAGTAGAGCACTATTGAAAATTTGGTTTTGCAAATAGTAAATTCTGGAGTTTTTGTTTTCTCGAACATTTTGGTTATAAGCTCATCTTTAGAGAAGCTTTATTTGCAGGTATTCTATATGGATGAGTGGAGATTATATTACTTTAGATGGATTTTCTGTTTGCTCTGCCAGGTGCCTCAAAAGTATCACTGGCAGAGACCTAGTTTGGAAATGTGTACATTTTACCAGATGCAGGAGGTTACAAATTCTTTGTGGGGAGATCCCTCCTTCCTTAGTCCCCAACTCCCCATTCTAAAAAAGAATTTACCTTCTTACCACTCATTCAATTTCTTCTAAACCAACCTTCTCTAATTATGTTTCCCTTCAAAGATTCTGGCTTTATGAAGTGTTCTTAGTTCCAAATTATTGTCTAATAAAAAGTTATCACTTGTTTCTCTGTTGTTGTTGTTGATTGCCATTGAGTTGAGCATGACTCATAGCAACCCTATGAACAAAAGACCTGAAGATTTTCTATAACTATCATTTATCAAAGTTCATATTTTCCAGAGGCATGTTGTTCAAGAAGTGGATGCCACTCCTGCTTCCAACTAGTGGGCATTAAAATCCAAATTACTAGATTATTAAAACTGGTAATCCCCTTGTGAACCTCAGAACAAAGCCAACTCTAAAACATGCTTACTGTTCTGAATTTCTGTCCTCTCTCTTCCTGATTCCTGGTGGCACAATGTGTAACAAACTTATCAAGCTGCTAACTCAAAGGTCAGCATTTTTAATTACCAGCCACTCTGTGTACAAAGGTACAGTCTGTGGAGAGTACTTTGTGCCAAGATCAACTTTGCTTTTTGGAAGAATTCTGACACTAGTACGTTAGTATTTGTAGTAGAAAAATTTTTAAGTTATCTAGCCCAATATAGTATATTGTATAACTCCAGAAAGTACCACTTATATGCAACAGAGAATCTAATGTCACTAACCTCCCCCAGAGTCAAAATATTGCCTATTCCAGCTCTCTGTTTTCGAAACCAAATGGAAAAAAAATGCACCTAAGGTCCAACAAAAGGGAGAGTCTCCCATTCTCCTAAGTCAGGGTTATTTGGTTGCTGTAATATCCAGAAACAAATTATGATAGTTTGCCAACTTCTTATGTAGTAAAATTGTTGTTGATTGCCTTCAAGTCGAGCACGACTCACAGGGACGCAATGAACAAAAGACCTGAAGCCTTTCTATAACTATCTGCATTTATAAAAGTTCATAGTTTCTGGAGGCAAGGTGTTAAGGAAGTGGATGCCACTCCTGCATAGGACCTTTTTTTTTAACTTCTTCTTTTTTCCTACTAGTTTTACAAAACTTGAATACAAATTCGAAAAAATTCTTTCAATTTCCCTCAACCCTTCCCCTCCATCAAATTATACAACCCAATGATTATGACCTTTTAAATCTCAGGAGAAGCCAGAATGTCATGGCCTTTTTCTTCATGTTTTATTGGTAAAAATTATGACAGACAGAATTCCAGAGAACTAGCAAAAGTGAGCAAGAAAAAAACCCACAGAGATATTCAGATTGCCCTCTTATAAGACTTCTATTTACCCTTCTGTATGACCAGAAAATTCCCTGGCTGAAAATGTGGATTTATATAAAATGACATTTTTTAAAACGTCCATTTCAAAGCAGTATCTTCTCAGCAAAGGTTCTAGGAACACCCTTACCTTTTCGTCTGGCAAAGAGGTAAGCTATATCATGACCTACAGATAACCTGGCTGCATTAAAATGTGGCATGAGTAGTGTGGCTTCTAAATATGCCATTTTCCCTGGTCCTTTTGCTTATTTGCATAATAGAAGCATTGAAAAAGAATGCATGTTTTCCAAATGCTTGTATTAATGTGTACATTCTCCTTTGCCCTATGTAGTTGAGGAAATTGAGGTTCAGAAAAGTAGAGAAAAAATATCCAGTATTATGTAGAATCTCTTCTAATACAAGGCTGTTTTTTATGGGAAGTGGAGACTTGAGGAGTCAAAGGTATTCTAATTTTATCATAAATAAACAAAGTTGGTGCAGCCATATGATAGAATACATTTTAGCTATCAAAAGTAATAAATTCCACATTCTCTCTGTTTTCTCAGATATAGTAGTGAAAAATTGTTAAGTAGAGAAAATTGTGCATCATTTTAAACATATATGTTGTATATGATTAGATAGATTTTCCCCAGATAGAAATGCATAAAATTACTTACAGTGGTCCCCTTTTAGGAGCAAAATCAAAGAGTAGCGAAAAAGGAGGTTTTCATTTTCCCTCTATGTAGTTCTGTTGTATTTGCTGTTTAACTCATAACAGCTCCTTCTCTGGAAATCCTTAATAAAAAACTAAAGATCAATAAGCTCCAGAGTAAAACTTGAGTATAGTACTGTACTATTTGGACTATTTCTTAGTCATATGTGTATATTACTTTTAATTTAAAAATGATTATGTGTTTGTATATCTGCCTATGCGATTACAGGATTTTAGAAAATTCTTACTAAGAATCTCTTTTTCTCCATAAATGTTTAGACTTCTTTAAAGTAGGGAACTGTCTCCCTCAAGTGTTATAGCCTGAAATTGAGAGACTTGTACCCCATTCTTAATTGTAACAAGGATGTTCACAAACTAGTTTGGTTCCCTCTGAGAGTTGTCCTCATCTGTTTTATGGTTTGTTTTGCTTTCTTGATTGTCAAAACAGAGCATGGGAGAAACTCTGAGCAGACATTCAAGGGCCATTTTCTTACAGGTTGGAGGAGCATAAATGGATGCATGTCCAAGTGGGAGATATCATCAAGCTGGAAAATAATCACCATGTTATGGTAAGTGACTCTTTCAGTTGAAGCCTTTTTTCTTTTGGCTCTGTTCCCACTACCTTGGGCAACCTTTCTATGAGCATCATTATTACCACAGGTAAATGTAAGTAGTTTGGAGAGAGAATGCAGTGAGGGTGATGGGTCCCAGACAAAGAAAGTAAACCAAATGTGCACAAAATTCTTAGAATGAACATTTGTTTCTGAAATCATTGTTTTTATCATCCTGTAATATTAAATGCCTGCCTTTCTATTGCCTTTATGTCTTCTGACTTTTCTAACCACAGGCAGATGTACTGTTACTCTCTAGCAGCGAGCCCTATAGTCTGACATACATAGAAACTACAGAACTGGATGGGTAAGTGTTAGCTCTTGTCATACCATTGAAGCAATTTATTTAGAGTAGGATTCTTCACTGATATTGAACATAATTCAGGGAACAAATGCTGTTCTTAGATGGAAGCTGTAGTATATTAGCCAGTAGGGCTGGAAATAATCCAGTAAATAAACCAAACCGTTGGGACCATCAAGTCTAAAGCTAAGCTTCTGAGAGCAAAACTGAGCCTACATTAGGTGCAGGAGAGAAAGGGGGCCATCTTCAGAAAGCTTCTCCTATGAAGTTGCATCTTAATACTATTACTTAGCGTCCACAGGCTTTTTTTAAACATGGATTCCATTTTTGCTTTTGTCTCTTTGCATTCCAGTATCAGAAAACTGATTGTTGGACTCTTCATTTTCTGACAGATACTTACTGTTACACTGAGGTTTATGTAAGCTCTTTACTTATTTTTGAGGAGGATAGGTGCCACCATTAGGTTGTTTTCTGCTGTTTCTCTAGAGCAACTGTTCAGAATAAAATGCTTAAGTTAGTGAAAGCAGAATGTTGCAGGGAAAGTAGCAGAGAGAAAGGAATACATGAGCTAGCACTCTGTTTCCTTGCAGAACCAACCCATCTAAATATTAACTGTAAGAGAGAAGCACCTTGGGAGTGACTCTTAGGACTCAAACTCATTGCCCAAGCTTTTCTGGCAATACCTGCTTTCTAAAACCCCCAAAATGAGTAGGATTCACTGGAACTGGGCTGCTGTTATGTATATGTCTTACACTTAGGTGACTGTGTATCCTTTGCTCTAGTGAAACCAACCTGAAAGTGAAGCAGGCCATCTCAGTTACCAGCAACATGGGAAATAACCTAGAGTTACTGTCTGCCTTTGATGGTGAGTTAGAAAATAAGTTTGCCTATCCAAATTTTCAAGGCGCTCTGGTGGTTTAGTCATGAGGAATTGTGCTGACAGTATAGAGTGATGTGGTTGAATCCACCAACTGCTCTGTGAGAGAAAGATGGAAAATCTCCTTCCAAGTGATTTACTGCCTCTGAAACTCCATTGGAGGGTCAGCTATCGGTTGGTCCTGACTCAATGGTATACAATAACAACCACTTAAATTTTCAGCTATACAAGACAGGTAATAAAGCACAGTATATCTATCTATACAGTGAATTATAAATACCTGATTGAAAAAGCAGTTGTAAGTTATTATTTATTGACATGAATGAACTATAGTCACAATGTTAATATGAGGAAAAGATATACATAAAATATACATCACAAAAGACTATACTTATTATATAAATCTAGGCTTGGAAATATTTGTGTGCTTGCTATTGTTGTTGTGTACTGTTGAGCCAAAACCAACTCACAGCTGATCCTCCAGTGGGTTTTCAGAGGCAGTGAATCACACGGGAGAAGATTGCCCATCTTTATTCCACAGAGAATCTAATGGGTTTGAATTGTATGCCTTTGGGTTGGCAGAGGCCACCAGATCTCCCAACATATGTATTTATATACTTGGATGGGTATACTCCAAAAGGTAATTTATCACTTATCTCTAGACAAAGATGTCTTCTTTATATTTTTAGTGTTGGATACATTTTTACAAAGGACAGATGTTACTTCACTAATTAGGTTTCACAGTGACTACAGTAATGGGCTTGAGCAGACTGAGCTTATATGAGGATGGCACAGGTTAGAGAAAGATTTCTATCTATTGTTTGTATGATCACTGTGAGCTATCGTTAACTTGATGGCACCTAACAACACCATTTAGGGAAAAGTATGTAATTCTGTTTTGGTGGTGGAAGTGAGGAACCACTATACTATAGAAGTCTTTTTAGTTTGAGGTTTTTGTCTTGTTTCAGATTCAGTACTCATATAATCTTCTGGCACTTACTGTGGTTAGTTGTCATGTATTCTCTTTTGGATGACTCGTGTCACTTGCAGGATTACTCTTTTTGATGCACAGAAACCTTTGTGGTTTTGTTTGTTGTTCTTGTTAGGTGCTATCAAGTCAACCACATATCCACGTGAACAGCAGATTGCCCTGTCCTGTGCCATCCTCACAACCTCAGATGCTCAGGTCCATGGTTACATTTACTGTGTCATCCCATCTTGTTAAGAGTTTTTCTTTCTTTCTCTGACCCTTTCACAGCAGATGCCTTTCTTTAAGGATCTGATAAAAAGTATAACAGCTGAGAGGATGGGAAGATATGCATGTGTGTGTGTGTGTTTTGAAAGTAGGATTTCCTTTCTGCTTTCATGATAAGTAAGCCTCCTCTATCCTATGAGGATGATGCAGCTTCATCTCATATACTTTGGGCATGTTGCTAAGAGACACTATTCCTTGGAGAGGAACATCATGCTTGGAGAGGTAGAAGGACAGCAAATGAGAGGAAGATCCTCAACCAGGTGGGTTGACACAGTCACTGCAGCAGTGGATCAAGTGTGTCAGAGAGTGTCAGGATGGCACAGGATAGGACAGGGTTCAGATCTGCTGTTCATAGGGTTGCTATGAGTCATACTCAGTTCAGCAGCACTTAACAACAAGATGACAGAACCAGGACTCTTACCTCTTCATTTTTCCCCCACACAGGACAAGTGATATGTGAGCTTCCCAATAACAAACTGGATAGATTCACAGGGACACTGACGTATAAGGGGAATACGTACCTTCTGGACCATGACAAGTTGCTGCTCCGAGGCAGTACCATAAGGAATACTGATTGGTGCTATGGCTTGGTGATTTATACTGGTATGTTTTCCTGAAGCCAGTCTTCTGTGTCCCATGATCAAGTTGTACATGCTTAAATTTTAAGATACAGATATAGCACTTATATATCCTTCTATAGATAAACAGATAACAGAGAGGTAGAAGTAATAGTGTTGTTGTTATGTTATTGTTAAGTGTCATCAAGTTGTAAACAACTCATAGCGATCCTATGAACAAAAGACCTAAACCCTTTTCATGGTTGCTCCACAGTCACAGAGTTTCTGGAGGTAAGATATTTTGATGAAAGTTATACAAATATTCAGGCCTTTCGTTCATAGGGTCGCTATGAGTTGTCTGTGACTTGACGGCACTTAACAACAACATAGAGAGAGCTCTGTTGGCCTAGTAGATAGAAAGTTATGCTACCAAGCCAAAGGTGGGTGATTTTAATCTGTGGCCCTCAGGCCTGGTTGGTTTTGGTCAAACATTCTTCTAAGTGGTATAGCACTGGTCTATTCTTTTGCTGTACAGAGGTAACTAACTCGTGGTTGCTGTGATGCTAAACACTGTGACACTGATGTGTCAATTGTGACAATGGTTACCCATGGTGGACAGTGTTTGGTGGAGCTTTCCGATTAAAAGAAGCTTGGAAGCAGGAGTAGCATCTACTTCCAAAATATCTTGCCTCCAGAAACCCTATGAACATGGAGAAACAATGAAGTAGTAGTAGAGGTACAAATGCAGGTAGGAGTATATTTGAGATTAGAGGGAAAGAGCTATCAGAGATTTATGCACACTCATGTTAATCGCTGTGTTTTGAACAATAGCAGAGAGATGGAAGCAAACCAACTGTCCATCAAGTGGATGGATAGAGAAGCTGTGGTATAGTCAGACAATGGAATACTATGCAGCATTGGAAAAGAAGGAACTCATTAAATGTTATACAAAATGGGTGATCCTGGAGGACATTATGCTGAGTGAAATAGATCAGTCACAAAAGGACAAATACGGCATAATTCCACTCTTATAAAATAGGACTGACATTGAGGGTTAGGGAGAAGCTAAGAAAAGACGGTGTAAATAATGAACATTGCATTGAAACCAATGAGGGAAAGAATTATTTGAAAGGACTATATGATCAGGCTTTATTTGCATGACAACAGTCCACAAAAAGAGGTGCATAGCAAGGTGGACTGGGATTGGGGGAGGGAGGAAATTGTGCAACAATGAATGAGTTTTTTAAAAGAGAAAAGCGAACTGGGAGGGATAGAAAGGAATATGTACAGCAATAAATGAATGGAAATCCAAGTTTTCTGTAAACTTTTGTTACAATAACAATAAAAATATGTGTGTGTGTGTGTGTGTATAAATATATATGTGTGTGTGTGTGTGTGTATATATATATATATATTCTCTATATATATATTTTTAAAAAGCTGTAGGAGATTTAAGTTTATTTTTCAAGGATGAGGAAGTGAGTGTGGGGAACAATTTTTTTTCCAAGCAAAGAAACAAGTTGCCAGTATAGCAGTTCTGTCTTTGTGCTATAAGATCGCATGGTACTTTGAATCCTTCCCACTATGTCTGGACACAAAAGAAGGTATATATGTGAAAGTGGACCATATAATGTGGGCAAGTACACCTGAGAGTACCTGCTTGTAAATTATCCCCATGAGAAGAGAATGCACAGTGTTCATTGTGGAGAAGAATATAAAATATAATGCCAAGAGTTCATGCCCCCAAAAAAGGCACATAAGAGTCATTAGCAGTGAACTCCCTTGAGAAGTCATTTAGAACTACAATCCATTATACCTAATGAAGGGTTTTCTTGAATTAACTTGTGATTTAAGAACATGGAAGAAATCTCTAATTATCCATGCTGTCAGTAGCAACTGATAATTGATGATACCAATCATCTCAGGTTCCTAGAGCTCACTACTACTCCCTAGAAGTCAGAGTACTATATTCCTCATGTGTATGAAAAGTAATACACAAGCCCTAGTGGAGCTATTAATCCTTGCCTTAAAGTAGCACCTTCAAGGCTACGTAGTCCTCAGACTAAAAATATTCGAATTAGACTTATATCCTTCATTGCACTTCAGTAACACACGCTTGTCACATTGTTGTTGTTGTTGTTGTTATGTGCTGTCGAGTTGCTTGCGATTCATAGCTACCCTGTGAACAACAGCTCTAAACTCTGCTCTGTCCTGTGCCAATCGCACTGTCTCTGACACTCCCATCCCGATTACCCCAGTCACTGAATCAATCCACCTCATAGAGGGTCTTCCCCTCCTGTGCTGTCCCTCCACCCTCCCAAGCATGATGTCCTTCTCCAAGGACCAGTCTCTCCTCACAACATGTCCAAAATATGTTAGACAGAGTCTCACAATCCTTGCCTCCAAGGAGCCACCTCATTTAACCCTTTCCAGGATGAATCTATTTGTTTTCATAGCAGTCCATGGTATTCTCAATACTCTTCTCCAGCACCACAGCTCAAAGGCATCAATTCTCCTTCTATCCTCCTTGGTCATTGTCCAACTCTCTGATGCATAACAAGTGATTGTGAAGACCATGGCCTGTATCAAATGCACCTTAGTCTCCAGAGAGACACCATTGCTCTTCAGTACTTTGCAGAGGTCCCTAACAGCAGACTTTCCCATGACAGTGTGCCTTTTAATTTCCTGACTACTGGTGCCAAGAGTGTTAACTGTGGAGCCAAGCAAACTAAAGCTGTGTACAATCTCAATCTCTTCACCATCCATCCTGATGCTGCCAATTGGTCCAGTGGTGAGAATCTTTGTCTTCTTGACATTGAGCCTCAATCCATATTGAAGGTTGCAGTCCTTGACCCTCTGCAACAGGTGCTTCAGGTCCTCTTCAGTTTCAGCAAGCAGGATTGTGTCATCTGCATAACGCAGACTGTTGATAAATCATCCACCAATCTTGACCCCACATTTCTCCTCATAGAGCCCAGCCTCCCGGATAATCTGTTCTGCATATAGGTTGAAAAGGTATGGAGATAGGACGCATCCCTGGCGTACGCCCTTCCCAATTTTGAACCATGCAGTGTTGCCTTGCTTTGTTCTGACAACTGCCTCCTGTGACTCTGAGACCCTTTGAGCAACAAATATGAACCTTGCCCATACTATCCTCACCATCTCTGACACACTTGAGCCCATTACTACAGCCACAATGTCAATCTGTCTTATTGTAGGTTGTCTTTTTTTTTTTATATTGACCCTCCATTTCTCCAAGCATTGTGTCTTTTCCCAAGAACTGGTCCATTCTAACAATGTGCACAAAATATGTGAAATGGAGTTTCACTATCCTTGCCTCCAAGGAATAACTTGATTTTTATTTTCTCCAGGACAGGTTTGTTTGTGCTCTTGGCAGTCTGTGGGATATTCAGTACTCTAACACCACAACTCAAAGACATTGATTCTTCTGTCATCCTTAGTCATTGTCCAATTTCAGGAGCATAGCAAGCAATTGAGAAGACCATGACTAGGATCAGGCACACTGTAGTCTTCAAACTGACATCATTACTCTTAAGTACTCTGGAGAGGTCTCTGACAGCAGATTTTCCCAATGTGATACATCTCTTAATTTCTTGTCTGCTGGTACCAAGGGTGTTGATTGTAGATTCAAGTAAGATGAAATCATTGACAACTTCAGTCTACATCCATCATGATGTTGCCTGTTGATCCACTGGTAAAGATTTTTGTTTTCTTGGTGTAGAGATGCAATCCAGACTGGAGGCTATAGTCCTAGATCTTCTACAAAAAGCACTTGAAGTCCTCCTCACTTTCAAAGTTGTATCATCTTCTTATAAAAAAAAATCCCTTTTTAAAAAAAAAATCCCTTATTTAAGCTGAAAAACCCTGGGCTTGTAAGAAAGAAGTTTGTGGCTCCTATTCTGATTTGTCTCGTCTGTGAAAGATTAGATTAATTACTAAAGAGGAATCAGCATTGGTACACTGTAGAGAAAACGGATGGTACTCCCCTTAGAAAAATGTTCTCTGTTCTTTCAGTTGTTGGCACCAGCTAGGAATGTTTTTTTGTTAGGACTTTAACTCCTGCTATTGATTAGGGGTTAAGAAGAAGAACACCTGGTGCAGACGGTCAAGGACTGTAGTCTGAAATACAGATTGAAGGTCAATATCAAGAAGACATTAAAAAAAATCAAGAAAATGAAGATTCTTATCACTGGACCAATTGACAGCACCATGATAGATGGAGAAGAGATTGTGATTGTTAACAAGGTCAGCTTGCTAGGTTCCACAGTCAACACTCTTTGCACCAGTAGTGAAGAAATCAAAAGACAAATTGCATTAGGAAAATCTGCTGTCAGGGACCTCTCCAGAATGCTGAAGAGCAATGATGTCAATCTAGAGACTTAAGGTGTGTCTGATTCAGGCCATGGTCTTTGCCATCACTTGCTATGCATCAGAAGACTGGACAGTTACCAAAAATGACAGAAGAAGAATTGATGCCTTTGAGTTGTGGTGCTGGAGAAGAGTATTGAACATACCATGGACTGCAAAGAAAACTAACAGATATGCCTTGGAGAAGATGAAACCAAGCTACTCCTTGAAAACAAGGATTTTGAGGCTCCATCTAAAATACTTTGGTCATGTTGCTAGGAGGGACCAATCCTTGGTGAAAAATATGCTTGGAAGGGTGGAAGGACAGTGCAAGGAGAGGAAGACACTGGATAAAATGGATTGACACAGAAATTGGAGTAATGAAGAGCAGATGTGTCAGAGACAGTGAGATTGGCTCAGGATAGAGCAGGATTCTGAGCTATTGTGAATAAAGTCATAGTCAACTCAATGGCACATAACAACCACATTGATTAGATGGTGAAATTAGATGATTGGGAAGATATATTTTAACTCAGTGTCAAGTCTCTTACGTTTTTTTTTCAATGATTCTAGGAGTTGATGTCTCCCTCTTTCCCTTAGGACCAGACACCAAATTAATGCAAAATAGTGGAAAATCTACCTTTAAGCGGACCAACATAGACAATCTCATGAATGTCCTTGTGATCTGGGTAAGAGACTCCTCACTGCCCTCTCTTGTTTCTTTACAAATAAGAATATGTCCCTTCCTTCTCCAATAGTAACTGGTATTTCTAACTCAGAATTTAGTTATGTTTAAAAGTCTCAAGCAGTTTGTGTACCTCATAGACTAATATCTAAAGCAGAAAACTAGGAAGATAACTTATGAGGGAGTCTGTAGTTCATACATCTGTTAAGGAGAATAGAAACAGTTTGTTTAAAAATATTTTTTCTCTTTCTTGGAAATCATATCTGTTTATTTGTTCCGTAAAAAGTAATGTTAACAAGCACAAGGTGAGGACCGGGAAATCACCAGGATAACAGAGTTTGATGAGGCAAGGGAAGAAGGTGAAGGAATTAAGAAAGGTACAGTGGGGACTTGAAAATAAAGGGTATAATTTTGGAGCAATATTTAGAAATTGTTAAACCAGAATTTAATTTGCTCTGTAAACTTTCACCAAAAATTCAAGAAAATTATTTTAAAGAAAAAAAAAGAAAATAAAGGGTAATTGCAGGCATAGATTAAGGTGATTTCATTTTAAAATACAATGTACATAGTGCTTGTTTCAAACACCATGTGAATTTAAGAATATGTGAATCACAACATATAATAATATTACACAATTTATATGAATTGTTGAAAATGAGTAAGTAGATTTCTGTATCGTAATAATCAACAGAGACACATTCCTGGGAAGAATCCCTAAAAAAGTTTGTGTGACCAAGGTTTCTCCCAGAAAACAAATCTTACTCTATATCAGCAAACTCAAGCTGAGGAGAAACCCTATGTGTGAAGGGAGTTTAGACAAGGCTTCATTTGGAACCTCGCTTTCCATTAACAACTCATTCTAGAGAGAAACTCCATCAACAAAACTCAAACTTCATACCACTCAGACAATTTCACACAGGGAAGACTTCTTTTCACATAGTGATTGTAAAAAACCTGAGGCCCAGCAGTGAAATTCCAGTTGGTAAAAAAAACAACAACCAGTTTTTGGGGGAAAGCCTTTCAGTGCAATGAATGTCAAATAACCTTCAAGATGGATCAAGAGCTCATTGTCCAGGAAAGATCTCATAAGCTCAAAGATCTAATGAGACAAACAATATATCTGGATACCATCCTGAAATCAATAGTGTTAATTTCATGCTAGTTCACAGGAAAAAGATGGACAGTCTCTTTCCATAAAGAGATACTGGCTCAGGAACACTGTGGAGGGTCCCTGTGAATCAGAACCACCTTCAGTGTAGTGACTTGGGGTTTGACAGCGCAAACATCACTGCATGTTGAACTCCCACAGAAAAGTGCCTCTCACTGTGCTGTCATCTTCTCCCTTAGCTGCTCCTGTCCTCTACCCAGAGGTCCTCTAAAGTTCTGATTGCCCAGTGAGCCAGGGGTTAGATAAAGGTTCTATATTCATTCAGTAGACATTCTATTCTACTCATTACTCTTGAATCTGAGGCAGCTCATCATAGCTGACTCTCCAGCAAGTTTCCAAGTTTGTAAATCAAATGGGAAGAGATCACTCATCCTCTTCCCTTCAAGTGCCTGGTGGCTTTGGACTGCAGAGAGGAACTTCTAGGCTAGTAGCACAGCTCCCCAAAGACTCACACAGAGAGAAACCCTATGTGTGCAGAGTGTGGAAAAGGTTTCATCAGGATGCCTTAATTCAGTATCTACCACCAAATTTACAGTCTTTAAAAGTATTTTAAGCTTTGATTAATGATAAAAGAATGGATCAAAGATCTAGCTCTAAAAATTAAAACCATCTCTATGTATTCATAGTCCATTTTGCTTATGGCCATCTTAACAAAACCTTACTTAGGCTAATTAGAACATATTATATAAACAAATGATTTTCAAACTGTATTTTCTTAGCAGAGGCTTGAGATATATTGCAAGGAGATATGTTGTTCAACTAAATTCAACTCAACTCATTGTCTGAAGTCAGAACTGATTCATAGATGACCAGTGCGGTTTTAGAGACTAAATATCATTTGAGAAGACTACCGATCTTTCTCTCTTGACAGTACAACTCCTTATCCACTAGGGCAATAGAGGTTCAAATTGTTGTTAGATACTGTCACTGCAGCTCTGTGAACAGATTGAAATTTTGCCATATCCTTTGCCATTCTCACAATCTCTGCCATGTTCAAGCCCGTTATTGCATGTTGCTGTTAGGTGCCATTAAGCAGAGTACGACTCAAAGCAACCCTGTGAACAACAGATCTAAATCCTGTCCTATCCTGTGCCATCTTCTCTGACACATTTAAGCTAGTCACTTTGTCAGTCCATCTTGTTGAGGGTCTTTCTCTCTTTTATTGACCCTTTACCTTTCCAAGTATGATGTCCTTTTCTAGGGAATAGCCTTTTCTAGCAACTTGCCCAGCATATGTGAGATGAAGTGTCACCATCTTTGCCTCCAAGGAACACTCTAGTTGCACCCACTCCAAGACTAATATCTCTTGGTAGATCATGAGATATTCAGTACTCTTCCCTAACAGCATGGCTCAGAGGCTTCATTCTCTTGTCATCCTTATTTACTATCCAGCTCTCATATGCATAACAAGTGATTGAGAAGATCATGGCCTGAATCAAGCACACTTAAGTCTTCAAAATGGCATCATTGCTCGTCACTAATTTGAAGAGGTCCTTGACAGAAGACTTTCCCAGTTTAATATATATCTCCTAATCTTCTGACTGCTGGCACCAAGAGAGATTAAATAGATTTTTTTTTTCTCACTTTCTAATTCTACGGTTCCTTCTTTGGAATAAATGCAATCTGTGCTACAAGATTTCAACTGGACATGAATGGGCAAAGATGTATTAGTTTAAACATAACTAAGCATCCTAAGTGATTGAGTTACCAATCCTTGGACCTCAAAATCATAGAATTGATTGACTTCAAGGTCAGTTAGTATAACATAAGCCACAAAGACAATGTTCTATATTCTAGTTTATTGAGTAGCAACTAGGCTTGTGAGCATCGCTTCTCGGGCTTTTGGCTAAGATCTTGTGTAGTATCTGTTCTTATCAGTTTAATATAGGATATACCCTCTATCTGAGGACAAGATAATTGAGATACCATCTCACTCAAGTAGCAGTTTAACAAGGCAAAGTTTAACAAGGCATCAAGTAATAAATGTTGGAGAGGATGTGGTGAGATAGAAACTCTTATACATTGTTGGTGTGATTGTAAAATGGTACAACTACCTGGAAGGCAGTTGGACACTTCTTCAAAAGGCTGAACATAGAAATTCCATATGACTCAGCTATTCCATTGCTTAGAATATACCCAAAGAATATGAGAACTGAGGCTCAAATGGAAACTTGTACACCAGTGTTTATAGCAGCATTATTTACCATCTCAATAACATGGTAACAGCCCAGATGTCCAACCACAAATGAATGGATTAAGAAGTTGTGGTACGTTCATATAATGGAATACTATGCAGCATGCAGGAGCAATGATTTTGTAAATTACTATCTAACTTGGGAGGGACTGGATAGCATTATGCTAAGTGAACCAACTCAGTCCCCCAAGGACAAATACTGTATAAAACCATTATTATAGAATGAGTATGAGGATCCAAGAGGGGGAGGGTAGAAACAGAGGGGTGAGGATGGGGTTGTTTTTTTCAGTCATAGTTGGTGCACAATTCAATGGATGGGGGTGGTGAAGGAAATAGGAAGGATCTTTTGTGAAAAACAATGCATTCAAATGTTATAAATAAATCAGTATAGAATTTTTTTTAAAAAAGCTTGTGAGTATTTATCTAAGATCTTCTCCCTGTCCGAATCTATGAGGCAGGAAGGAAAAATCAAGGATACATAAACACAATTAGTCCAGAAGACTAATGGATCACACAAATCTCAACTTTTTTTTTTTTTTTGGCTGAGTACAGTGTACTTTATTGATGGTACATGACAGGATGGGCTTGCCAAGCCCCTCCCCTTTCTCAGGGGGATTTGATGGAAACTTGTGTCAAGGATGTGAGATTTTCAGTGTGTGGGAGGATCAAGTTGG